CGTTTAAGCAAAGCTTTGATGTCAATCTAGGAAAAATAGTTGTAAATTGTCGTATAGCAATTGTTTACTCTGTTATATGAAAATGTTACAGTTTTGATATTATATGCATTGATAACATTCTCTAATAAAAATGATATATGGAAAAAAAAAAAAAATGAATTGATTATTTTCAAACTCTATAAATAAATGATTTCACCTTTTTAAATATGTACCAAGCGTGCTTGTCACCTGCCCCAATGCATTGACTCATTATGTTACCTAATTACGTAATCACAGCCTTAATACAGAAATCATGACAAACGTCTCCACATAGTCAGAATGCCAAGTTAAATATAATTTGTCATGCTGTCATGAAATTACATTTCCGTGTGAACGCAGCGTTGGCTGATTCCACCAAACCATATTCAGTTCATCCAAAAAAGGATTAACTACATGGTTTCCTCTCCTGCTCCCCACGGATATTGGCAGCGGGCACACTTGGAAACTCTCCCATGTGGGCACTGGGCAAATGAATATCTTTGATGGGCGATGGGGTGATATACACGGACACCCACTAACTGGAGCACTTATTGCATCATGAGTTTGCGGTCACAGGTAACGGAGCCAAGCCAAGGTAACAGCTCTTGCATCAGAAAATACACTGACCTTCGTGGATCAGCTTTTGCAATTTCTGGTAATTCACCTGAAATCAACTAATATTAGATCACGGTTCATTACAGCTAAATGATTCTCATTTTTTTAATTAATTTTGGAAGTTTTAAGAATTTCACAGAAATGAAATTGAACATAAATGGTTATGAACAATCTGCTGATTCCGTCAGCCAACATGCGCACCCTGGGTTGATCTCAGTCAACCCAATGCTGCCCCAGAGAGAAACATTGGGAGGCTAGTGCGCATGCGCAGAAAATCTCAGTGCTGCACCAATTAAATTCTCTCCTTGATCCTTGATTAACGGGTTATAACACTGGGACACTGGGCCCAGGCCACTTCATTGAGATGGTGTGGGTACCTTTAGTGCTTGTTTGCTTTTTGGTTTTGTTTTCTCAAAAATGGTCTAAAGTACTAAACTTGGGGCAATCACCATGGAAACAAGCGAAACCAGCAGGCACATTGAATTGGCGACCCCTCCTCTTTTTCATGTTTTCCCAATTTTTCAGATCAGACATTGTTCTGTACATAACCCCCATTGTTTCATTTCTCCTCTTCTGTGTACTCTCTCTCTAAGTGACTATCAGGTGCAGAGGACAGAGCTTATATCAATGACTGACAGAGAACCAAGATGGAGGCGCCCAGAAAAGAGGTAAATGTAGTGTGATGGATTTCTTTATATTATTTTAATTTTCAGAGGAGGAGAAAGTCATAATATTTGCTCGTTACCTTATAAACATGCTAGGGAGCGACAGCAGGATAGACCCAGGGCCGGTGCTTCCTATAGGCCGATTAGGCAGCCGCCTAGGGCGCTTCTTAAAGGGGGGCCCGGCAGCATCTTTACTGCTGGTTTGGGCTGCCCCCCTCTATGTGGGACAAATTCTGTTTTGCTTAGCAAACTAGCGCTAAGTGCCATTAAACTCAGCACGCAAAGAGCACTGAGACCCCCCCCATACCTCATATTCCGGCAGCGCACGATTGATCTCGCCCTTTCCCCTGTACTCGGGGTCAAGTGGGCAGGAGGATCGCGTGGGCAGAGCTAAGAGTGCGTGAAGGCAGCCAGGCCTGGAATGGGACCCACGGAGAGCTAACATTAAATGAAGGTAAGTGGGAGACTTCATGGTGTGTGTGTGTGTGTCAGCCTTGATCCGTGTGTCTGCTTGGATCAGAGTGTGTGTGTGTGTGTGTCTGTCTGTCTGGATCAGTGTGTGTGTCTGCTTTCCTTTGGAACAGCCTGCCTACCCCTGTCAGACTCTCCCCTAGTCTTCAATCCTTTAAGAAGTCCCTCAAAAACCATCTTTTTAGGATTGCTTATGGCCTCCAAGAGTAACTTCTATCTCTCAAACCTTCCTCTCGCTCTCTCCCATAGGGCCACACTCCACTCTCACCTCCAGTTCTGCTTCTTTCCCACCACGTCTATTTGTTCGTCTCTCTCAATACCCTTCCTATTGTGTTTTTATACCCCACCTCCTCTAGACTGTAAATTTGTTTGAGCAGGGTCCTCAACTACCTATTGTTCCTGTGACATTTTGTTATTGTCTAATTCGGTAAATCCCCCTCTTATTGTAAAGTGCTGCGGAATAAGCTGTCGCTATATAAATACCAATAATAATAATAATAATAGTGTCTGTCACTGTGACAGCTACCAGAGTCTTGTTTAACACTTCAAGGTAAGGCATTGTTTTATCTTATGGGGTTAAACCCACAGGACCACTGTAGAGCGAAAGGGGGTCGGCAAAACATTTTTTGCCTAGGGCAGCAAAAATCCTTGCATCGACTCTGGATAGACCCCTACAGCCCCCTACCTGGATCATATGGTTACTCCACTTAGCAGCAGGGTCCCGTGGGGCCTTTGGAGCCCCAGGGTACAATCTGTGGTCGTTAAGGTAAGGACCCAGCCTTGCATCATCCTGAACCCCAACATTTCCCTGCTCCCGTACTTTACTTTCTTTTAATACATAAAAATTAAAGATACATTTTATTCTTAATGTCTTGTGTAGTTTCCTCACAAATTCCTCTCCCATACAAACAGAGAACATAATTAATGATAAGGGGGGGAAAAAACAGACTGTATTCTTTATTTTCACAATTCATTTCTAGTCTTTATTCCAGGTAGGTAGGGCACAGACACCATTACCTTCTTGCTTTCTGAAATGAATCATTCACTTGGGAGATGGCACCAACCCATGCATGCATCACCCTCCTCACATACTATAAATTGAGGGATAAGTTCCCCCCATTAACCACGTCTCCATTTTTCCCACGTTTAATTGCAAAGCTATAGCTACACTATTCTCAAACCTACTGCCCTGGACTGGGACAACTCTCGACGGACTGCTCCTTAACTGAGATATTTTATTCTATACTGTTCTGATCTACATTCACATTACTATTCAACTACCCAATAATCCTGATCCTCATGTCTTGTGTGCTAGCGTGTTTGCCAGGTAGTTAAAGGGACACTATAGTCACCAGAACAACTACAGCTTATTGAATTTGTTCTGGTGAGTAGAATCATTACCATCAGGCTTTTTGCTGTAAGCATGGTCTTTTCAGAGAAAATGCAGTGTTTACATTACAGCCTAGTGATAACTTCACTGGCCACTCCTTAGATGGTAGTTAGAGATCCTTCCTGGGTCATGGCTGCCTAAAATGCATCCAAACATTCAGTATCTCCTCCCTCTGCATGCAGACACTGAACTTTCCTCATAGAGATTCATTGATTCAATTCATCTCTATGAGGAGATGCTGATTGGCCAGAGCTGTGTTTGAATCATGCTGGCTCTGCCCCTGATCTGCCTCTTTGTCAGTCTCAGCCAATCCTATGGGGAAGCACTGTGATTGGATCAGGCTACCACTTCTGATGATGTCAGCAGACTGCTTGTTTTTCTGAGGCAAACAGCATGCAGAGTTATAGCTTCAGGCTTGAATACAGTAAGATTTTGCTATATTTATAGAGGCATGAGGGCCCCAGGGGGGCTAGATGGTGGTTTTAACACTATAGGGTCAGGAATACATGTTTGTGTTCCTGACCCTATAGTGATCCTTTAAGTCTCTGTCCTTGTTTTGATGGAGTTTAGTTTTGTTAGTGAGAGAAATAAAGAAAATGACCCTGATGATTTAAAAAGGTTAGATTTGGAGTCTTCCAAAAAAACACAAACTTCCATCAAGAGATTTGTTTAATATATATTTACTCATAAAAAAAACACAATAACTTATTATCTTTACAGCAGATATTCACTAAGAAGGCATGCATTTATAGATCATGAAATATATAACACCAAGTATAATATTATAATATGTGCAATAATAATATATTTAGACAAGCTTTGTAATGCCTGAATGAGATTAAAAATTCTATATTAGAAATTGTATAGAACTACCATATTTATCACGTTGGAATCCTGTATGCAAACTATCTTTCTGTGACATGGAGTATAGCGAAACAAAACATAATATCATTTCTTTGGACGAACGTTAAAAATAGTCACAACGAAAGACAATTGCAATCCACGAAAAGCCATCTTGAATCATGTTCCGCAGACCCACTTCGTGATTTGAAAACTACACCAGATCTAAAGATCTGGAGATTGCAAAATCGCAGATTACTTTATGCAGTAATACTACTTGAATTTTACATATTAAACATTCAGTAATGACATAATACACGTATTAAAACATTATATAACCTGATAATGTCTGTTAAAAAAAATAATAACCTCTCGCACATTTTACTGCTGTGTGAAGTCCTACATTTAAGAGAAAGTGTGTAATGTCTGATGGAGAGGAAAAAAAATAAAATAAATAAAACAAAACTGTGTTATTTTTTAGCCAATCAGAAAATAGCTATGAGAGAATCATTACTAATGGCAGCCCACTGTCTGCTATAAAATGCTGACTTGGAGCAATAAACGTAATAATAGGCACGGGTTTTAAAGTTGACCTATGTAGTCAAACTTCATTAAAGATCTGCTTTCATGTAAACTAAATATTCCTAGAAGCACTTCTGCCTCTAATAATTTGCAAAGACTTTTGCCATTTGAGCAGCGAAAGCAGCTCACCCCAAATTGAGTCAATAGAGTGTCTGAGCTCTGCTGGTGACCACATGGGTGATGAGCCCTGGGTTATACACGTTATTATTACAATAATTTAAATATGGACACTCTGATGCATGCTTGTCTAATACAATAATGAAGTACAATATATATCGATAACCGTTTGTCTGCTAAAGACTGAGAGGATGTTAGAACTCTGGCTTGGATTCAACACAATAAAGTCCTGGGTTTTGGTGGTGGAGTTACTGAGGGTGAAGGTAGAAAAGCCATAAGTGAGCAGGACAACGCCAACCACTTTATTTGTCACATTCTAAGTCCTGCGACCCTTCTCCACCCTGATAGTGTTGTTGGCAGAATTCTCGGATGCGTCGGCAGGCTTCAATCATCATGTCTTCTGGAACAGTGAGGACAATGCGGAAGTAGTTGGGATATTCGAAACACTAACAGGGAGAACAAAAGGATGAGTGAGAAAAGCAGGAAAAGAGGTCGAAAACAAATATAATTGAGAAATTTTTTGCAGCGCTCAGTGGATTCTTAGTACACAAAGAACAATTTTATGGGAATTAAATCGTAAACAGGGAGACCTCCACTCTTAGAGCACTTACTGTGGCTGGGAGGCAGAAGACAGATTGTTCTGATATCATCCGTTCTGTGAAGTCTACGTCACTCTCAAATTCTGGGAAGTGCTCCATATCAATGCCAACCTGTTCATTAAAAAGAGAGCACGTGTCATGCAATTCGTGTTATCAAAACAACAAAACACAGAGGAGCCAGCTCTAGTCTTGGAAGGTCAGTAAAGGTGAGAGACAGGTAGACCATTTGAAATGACCCCCGGTTCCTAGAGTTTCTCTCAGTGATATTGTTTTCATCCCAAAAAAGCGTTTACTCCTCCCACAAATCTCACCCTGAAATCCCGACCCACTTCCTGTTTTTACAAATATGTATTAGTGTCTTGCCCCAAGGTGCCGTCTGTCAACATATATAACCATGTAAAACAGCATGGGCTTCAATTTAACAGATGGAAAGTTACAAGTTAATTATTGTTTTGTGTCTGGCAAACCAACGAAATGTCTCACCATTAGGTACATGGCCCCAGCCGGCCGCACCGGGCAGAGTCCAGGGACAGACGAGAGGGTGGTATAGCACAGGTCAGCATTAGACTGCAAAAATAAAGTACACAAAATAGGATATGTTTTAGCGAATGTTCTAGAGAACAGATAATTGGCGTGATGGATTGCCAAAGAGAAGATAAGGAGGTCAAAATGTGGATATCAAATAGTTCTAGTCCTGGGGCCCTGAACCACTGGCCTTTGTAAACAGTAGAATCAGATTCTGCACACCTACAATTGCCAATATACGTCAGATGTACATTCGCACAATCTTGTAAGTCCCTCCGACAGATACACACAAACGGCAACACCAGTCTTTTTACTCCAAAGCGGGTTTACTTCACAAATGTAAATTGCAGCTAAAGATATGTAATAGGCGCTCACTAAAAACTAATACGATATAAAAAACAGGCTGCAGTAACTAATACAAGGATTCCCAACCGTGTGAGTGGTAAAACATGAAAAGAAAAGAAAGTAATGTGAATAAAGTGATATATGTACACAAATATGTATGAATGATATACACTTTGGACCTCAAGAGAAACAAAAATAATAATGATAGTGCAGTACAGTATGTACAAAATGATAAGTGACATGTGATCTGTTATGATTACACTCACATTTGCTTGAGCTATATCAGAGCTCAGCTGTATCAGCGCCTGGACGGAACAATCCCTGTCTAAGGATATAGGTAGGTGCAGATGTCCAAGTGGCTCAGATGAATAGCAGTGTGCTGTACATATATGGAGGGAAAAAGTGCTCCAATGGTGAAATAAGTATGCTTAAATATATATAAAATAAAAAGGGTATCGTACTCATATTTACTAGAGCAGAACTTGCTCTAGTGTGTATAGCATTGGTGGTATAATCCCCACCCATGGATATGCTGGTACCAGGAAGTGAAGTTTGGAAAATTAAAGAAGTGTAAATATAGATATAAAATACACTATTTATTTACCAAACATAAAAAACGATAAGAACAATAAAAGTTTGAAGTCTATTCAAAAGTTTGAAGTTTACTCTTGAAGTTTATTTTTATTGTTCTTATCGTTTTTTATGTTTGGTAAATAAATAGTGTATTTTATATCTATATATACACTTTTTTAATTTTTCAAAACTTCACTTCCTGGTACCAGCATATCCCTGGGTGGGGATTATACCACCAACGCTATACACACTAGAGCAAGTTATGCTCTAGTAAATGTGAGTACGATACCCTTTTATTTTATATATATTTTAGCATACTTATTTCACCATTGGAGCACATCTTTCTGTATTTATTCCCATATATGTACTGCACACTACTATTCATCTAAGCCATTTGGACATCTGCACCTACCTATATCCTTAGACGGGGATTGTTCCGTCCAGGCGCTGATACAGCTGAGCTCTGATATAGCTCAAGCAAATGTGAGTGTAATCATCACAGATCACACGTCACTTATCATTTTGTACATACTGTACTGCACTATCATTATTATTTTTATTTCTCTTGAGGTCCAAAGTGTTTATCATTCATACATATTTGTGTACGTATATCACTTTATTCATATTACTTGGGCGCGGTTTCTTTCTTTTCTTTTCACAAATGTAAATTGGACAACACGCAACACTTCAATCCGGCTGGACCTGAGAAATAACTCCTAAAGTTATTTTCCTGTTCCAGTCTGATCTTTGCAACTTGTATGTTTGTTCTCTATCTTTAAAGGTTTAAAAAGAATTGGAGGCCGTATCTTCGCTAATTTTATTGAATATAAAAATATGTATTGTGGGGGTTTATTTATTAAGTCATACATTTACAAAACAGTTCGGTTGGGTTTGTAGCCTCGAACAATGGGCAATGGTTACTTGAAAAGGAAGAAGAAATAATTCAAATTCTGTTCCTCCTCGTGATTTTACACAAAAAAACACATTGAAAATTGCAGATAAATGGGTAGGAATTGCATTAATTCCGGAGTTTAACAATTACTAAATTTATAATTAAAATAATTAAAAAATAATACAATATTTCTTGCTATTTATTGTGCAAATCCCATGACATATAATCATCAAATGCAATAAATTAAATAAGAATTATAGGAAATCTTATCATTTATTTATCAAATATTTTAGCAGGAAGGATACATTGAGATTTCTCTCGTTTTCAAGTATGACAGTTCCCCTTTAACATGAGATCAGCTTGCCCGATAGGGGCATACAAAGCACATTGTACCTGGTTTTCTGCTCCTGAAATAATTCAGCAAATCAATTAACAGTCCTTAAAATGGCAAACCATTGTGAATTTTTGTTTTAAGTACCAAAGAGCTAGGTCACACTGGCACAAGCTCATATTAACTGGCCGGAGAAATACAATCAGGGCTTTTGAAGCTGAGAAATTAATTAATGCTTTCTTTTTAACGAGACTCTGTCAGCACAAGTTAAGGAGCAATGAGTTTCCTATTCCTGCCTCATTTCATCATATTCTTTATAGTTGAAGAAAGTTTTCCATATGGTTGGAGCTTTGTGCCTCCTCTCCTACCTAGTTAATAAATTGACCTCCAGATTTCATATCACGCCTTTCTTAGTGGATATCATTGACTTGAGAACATTACGAGCTGCAAGCAGGGTGCATACCTTGATAAAGTTAATGGTGTTATCGTAGAACTCTTGAGGTGTCCTTTTCACAATGTGCTCCAGGGCACCTTGGACAATGGTGCATGGTCCAAGAATTCTTTGGCTTAGCCTCACAAGACCTTCTCTGATCTAAGGACGGTAATAAAATCAACTCTGTGAATTCTATTTTATATAAGGCATTCAGAAGCTGTCTCAAAAAGGCCACGTATGCTACATATGACATGTTTTCCGCTGTATGTTCCAACTGGATGAATTCCTAGTTTAAGAACTAACAGTTATCAGATGTATCGTTCTTCTCTTAAAATAACTTCTGTTTGACATAAACACATGGAAATAGCATTCTTGGGGCAGGGGAACTGTTCATTTCCGTTCTATGGAACAGAATCATGCAATACATTTATATGGAGAAATGACCTTGTCTTGGTAATTCCAAGATGTTTTTTTTTTTTTTTAAACCAATATGCCATTTTACCAAAAGATACAAGGTTTTAAAGTGCTCAACGATAAAAGCACAACAAAGAACTGGCTAACCCAAGTTATAGATCAAATATTGCTTAACTTAAAGGAACACTCTGGATTCCTAAATTGCTTTAGCTTGCAGAAGGGATTTAAGCATGAAAAGTGTGTCCTCTTTTTTGTCATTTTACAAAAAGCGCAGATTTCAATAAAAATTTACACTTTTATAATTTAACCTTGTTACACCCCCACTGACTGTCAATCAGACACCCGGTCCTGTTACTTCCTGGTTTGTTTAGTTCAGTGGAGATAATCTCAAGAGACAGCAATTGCCCAGAGCACCTGCCTTGCAAAGACTTCTCATTGAGCTACATTGGGAAGTCTGTGATTGGACAGCCACAGAAATTCCGGGCCGGGTTAGAAAGGAAGGGTTTGCAAAAGCTGCAGACAAGAAACCACAACCACTGTCGTTAACAGGTTCTTGTTAGGTTATATGAAATGATTGCCAATAAATATTGAAAATTATTGTAAAGTGGGATTACTGTCAGTACAGTACAACTACAGTGTAGTTGACAAAGGAGCCCCTTGCCTCTGCTCCCTGTAGATGTTTCACAGAGTCTGATCTGAACCACTTTACAAATCAAGTTGGAATTTGGTTAATTTCCCAGTGTCTTGTCCATTTTTGCAACAATTCTCCTATTACCTCTTTTCCAAAGATTTCCTTCCGGTCATGAATTAGAATCCACCCCATTCTCCAGCCTGGTACCAGCCAGCGTTTAGCGAGCCCTCCGCATGACAGGATTGGGATGTTGGTGCTGAGTGATGCTAAGTAATGAAAAGCCCCTTCCTCAAAAACCTAGAGGGACAAATGTAGAGAAATGTAAATAAGAAAGCAAATTTCTACCTGGATTTACTCATCATTGGTACAAACTAGATCTATACACTACAATTAAAGGTTAAACATAATAGCACAGAGAGGAATAGTTTTTGAGAACGTGATCTAACGTGAGCTCAGATGTGCAGGGTATTGCCAATTACTGGAATATTTGTGTGGACACACAATGTCACAATGGTTTCACAACTGAAGACACATCCAGATCGGCCAGAGGATGTTCCACCAGCACAAATGATTTACCACTGACCAAAGTCCAACTAGATCCATCTAACATCGTAACTGGGTCTACAAAGATCTGCTTTGTTTTTGGCTGACATTACATACTTACCTTTTTATTATGATTACCTTATTTAAAATATAATTTAAATAAGAGGTTTTTTTTGTGCACAATTCTTGTAGAGAATTAAACCAGCAGTTTTGTAAAGAATTTCCTCTGAAATCGAAAGAATGTTTACTGCTCAGGCAAAATATTTTGTAGAGAAATTTACATTAAAGAGACTAGAGTTGAAGAACACAGAGAAAATGAGAATTAATGAAAGTATGTGGTACATATCCAAAAGAAAAAAAAATACTGGAGAATATAGTTGTCTTTAATTACTTATGAATACTTTATGACACAGTCATGACTGGTCTCCACTGGAGGAATAATCCCAAAATATTTTCTTCTCCTAACTCCCGGTTCTGACCTACCAGAATATGGCATGGTGGGTATATTTTTGTTGATCTATCTGGTAACCCTAAGAAATATTTCCTATAAGAGGTAATTGAACTCGGAGGGTTTGTCTATCTTGTTATTGCTTTGTGAAGGAACCATTAGACATCTGGAAGTATTTAGTGAAGAACAGATAGTCCAAGGAAATGATCTACTTCAAAAGAACACAAACTGCCAAGTCATTGTGACATCTGGACAGCGGGAGTGCCTGGAGGAGATGGCTGCGGGCTCGCCATGAGGGCTCTTAAGGGTTTTATCACCTGTTGTTTACCAGTTATGCGAGGTATCCGGCTGTGAGATATTACTTTATCGTTCTAGTTTTTTCAAACTGAAGTTTATTGACATTTAGAGAAACTAAAGCAGAGCATATATGTGCCCCAAGGGCGTGCCAAGACACCAATAAACATAATAAACCGACAGTCAGTATTACAACAGAACAAAACACATCAAATGTCCATGCATGACTGTCAATATAATAAAGCACAAGGAGGAATTAGATAACAAGATAGTAGAATAAAGATAGAAAGAAAAGGGAAAAAGTGGAAGAAAGGGGTTGGGTGGGAGACACGGTCAAAAATTCTTGAAACCATGAACCAGAAAGCTAGGATAAGCAGTCCGGTAAAGAGAGAGAGACACAACTGAGGATAAAACACCGGGAGGCATGGGTGTCCGCAGGAATTTTTCCAGGGGGGGCATAACTGTAATGACATCCATGCTTGGTACCTTTTTTGACAGTGTTATGAAGGGGAGGAGCATAGTCATTATCACATAAAGCCAGGGTGAATAGTGTTTTCACAACTATGGTGCCAGGAATACATGTTTGTATTCCTGACACTATAGTGTTCCTTTAAGCAAATTAAAGGAACATTCTGGTCACCATAACAACTTCATCTAAATGAAAATGCCAGGAAGCCCCTGGGTGTTCTTTTCCTTTAAGGGGTTAAACCACTCTCAAAAGTTTAACCCCAAAGGCTTCCTCCAGCTCGAGATTTCCAGGTTGCTCAGTGGTATTCGGCTTCTGAAACTGAGTGTCAGGAAGTGCAGATTGACGTCCGGCATGGGTGCCGCTGATTGGCTAGAGTTGACAGTTGACGCTATAAGCCAATTGCTAGTTCCCGATTCATAATTTTTTTAAACGTTTTTATGAATGGGGAGCTACTGATTGGCTTAGAGTGCCAGCTGACCGCTCTAGCCAATCGGCTACACCCCTCCCCAGCGGCACTCTGTGCTTCCTGACACTCAGTAAATAAAAGTGAATACATTAACACTGAGATTTTTTTTTACCTGGGGAGATGAGAAGGTCCAGAGTTTCCCTGCCAGGCCCAGGTACCAAAGCCTCATGATGTGGTGTCCAAAATAAAGTGGGTTCACTTCACTTGTCCTTCCTGCTCCAATCTCCTTTTCTTCTCCTTCATTTGACAGTCTTCTTTTTCTTCTGACACTGTCTTCTCTCCTACTTGGCTCCTTTACCTTTCTGCTTATTGTGCTCCCCCGTCTGATCCTTTCTCCATCTGATCCCTTTCTGCTCCTTGCAGACCCTTTCTGCTCCTTCTCCTACTTTACCTTTGTGCTCCTTCTGATTATTTCTGCTCCTTTACCTTTGTGCTCCTTCTGTCCCTTCCTGCCATTTTCAGCTCCTTGCTGACCCTTTCTGCTCCTTCTACTTTACCTTTGTGCTGCTTTACCTTCCAGCTCCTTGCTGACCCTTCCTGCTCCTTGCTGACCCTTCCTGCTCCTTGCAGACCCATCCTGCTCATTTGTGTTCCTTTGTGCTCCTTCTCCTACTTTACCTGTTGTGCTCCTTGCTGTCCCTTCAAGCTCCTTGCTGTCCCTTTCTGCTCATTTCTATTCCTTATCCTTTCTGCTCCTTCCTGTCCTTCCCAGCTCATTGCTGCCCCTTTCTGCTCATTTCTATTCCTTCTCCTTTCTGCTCCTTCTCTTACTTTACCTTCCTGGTCCTTGCTGACCCTTCCTGCCCCATGTGCCTCACTTCCCTGATCTGTAGGCTATCTCTGCCCCCCATGTGCCTCACTTTCCTGATCTGTAGGCTATCTCTGCCCCTCCATGTGCCTCACTTCCCTGATCTGTAGGCTATCTCTGCCCCTCCATGTGCCTCACTTCCCTGATCTGTAGGCTATCTCTGCTACCCCCCCATCCCTCACTTCCCTGATCTGTAGGCTATCTCTCTGCTCCCCCATCCCTCACTTACCTGATCTGTAGGCTCTCTCTGCCCTGCCATGCCTCACTTCCCTGATCTGTAGGCTCTCTCTGCCCCCCCATGCCTCACTTACCTGATCTGTAGGCTGTCTCTGCTGGCTGTATGTGTTGCTCCCCTGCGGATTCAGTCAGAGAGAAGCAGGGATAAGATGCAGCTTCCTATCCCTGTCTCTCTATACACAGCCGGCGCAGGTATTGCACTGTATTTTCGATCTCACACGAAAACAAGCTGAAAGATCCGGGGGGGGGGGGGCAAGTGGCCCCCCCTTCTCCCCCCTGTGGACGCCCATGCCGGGAGGGTAACAAAGGGTGCGTTAGCCTGAAGCAACATCCAGAATTCACAAGGTACCACCGTCTCGACAGTAAAAGGTGGACAATATAATTTATAGATTAGTCTGTACAGTTTAATTGAGTGTGATTAGCCCTAGAATGTCCATACACCTTGAGAACTGGTTACAATCCCAATGTTCTGTCTAGAACATTGTGGATCTGCTGATTCTTTCAGCATTATTTCAATACTATGTCACTTTACGATACTAATAAGTATGAGGACGTACAATCAGACATAAATATAACCCACTCACCATGTCGCCGTAGATTTCATCAGAAAGGAGGGGCACACATTGCCTTGATGCCACTGTGAAAACATTAAGAATACCTTCAGATATGCCTATGTCTCTAGCAGTCGCACCAGATCACAAATGCAGACGCTACCTGGTTACCAAAACGGTGACAAATAATGAAACTCAACAATATATAAAAGAGAGAAGCAAGGAGAGAGGCCTTGATTTCTCTTTGAGTTCAGATTTATTTAGAATGATTTGCTTTCTAGTTTTCAAACTAATGTCATATGTTTGCCCAAAGAGTTAGTTCATTGAAAACCATGAAAATAAATAGCCATATCTCCATTTACTAGTGGAACTGTCCTTGATGTGGCAATATTGCAGAATGCTGGACCTCTATATTCTGCACTCGGGTTTGCTGACTACATTTCACCAAATTCCCCCAGTTCCCCATGGAAGGTAATAGGGATCTCCAAAGTTGTTTTTTTAGCAATTTGAGAATTAGTGAGTTCACGGCTGAGTTAATCTCACACCCCTTATTCAGTAAAGAGGTCACTATGTCTCAGCTACATTCACCTACACTGTGTTCCTTATCTGTAGCCATGGTGGTGGGATTAGATGGCATAGTGAAACATTCTGATCTTTGCATGACATGAACAATGAACTCAGAATACCATTTGGTGATGGCCACATTATCACCACCTGTTCTATTACCATATTTGGCTATATGTTGCTATTGTTAATGTGCATTGATTATTGGTCACTCCCATGCCACTATTACAACTCCCATAACGCTCAGCCAGCTTATAGTCTTAAAGCTACAATTCACATTGGTGCTTTGCCAAACATTATGGCTGGCCTAGTATCATTTTGGAATCACACCTGGCACTGGTTAATGGACTCACCTGCCAGGATCTTTTGTAGGTGCTTCTTGCTGAAGACGGAGCCGCAGGGGTTTGACGGGTTATTGATTATAATGCAGGCGGTTTTGTCATCCACCAGAGATTCCATGTGCTTCAGGTCAATCTCCCATGACTTCTCAGGCTACAAAGAGGAAAAATTGGGATTATCCGTTCACCAGACTGGGAATTGTTGTCAATTCACCCAATAATTGTAAATCTGAGACCAAATGAAGTGCCCTATAAACAGATCGGCCCTCCAGATGTTGCTGAACTACAACTCCCATGATTCTATGAATGAAATAGATCAGGTATCCACACATTCGGTCAGGTATCCACACATTCGGTCAGGTATCCACGCATTCGGTCAGGTATCCACACATTCGGTCAGGTATCCACACATTCGGTCAGGTATCCACACATTCGGAGGGTACCTTAACCCGTAGAGAACTGATTTAGTTGTTTTTGTTTTGTCTTCCTATCTGTCAGTAAGAGTGTACAGTTAACTTGCCTTTACATATTGTATCTCCTGGGTACTTGAAGTAAGTGAGCAATATTACTCAATTTTAAATAATGAGAATTCATTTACTAAACACAACGATTAGTAGTTAAATGAAAACGGAATGCAAAACTCAGTATGAATTGTCCAAACTGTGACTATAACTGAATTGGAGAATTTTTCAATATCAGCTATTTTTTTGCTAGATGCACAATCACAATTCGCATGTCCGGGTGGCTATGTCTTGACTCAATAAGTCACTCAAATGCCTTATTGCAAGACTCAATAAACTGCAGACGCCAAGCAGCCCTGGCTAATGAAAAGTTACAGCTAGCTCCGACTTTGTGTATATTTCACATAGAACTATATTATGCTAAAAAAACAGTCTGGCTCCCAAATACGGCTGTCTTACTACAAATGTGTACAGCTCTATATGGCAGATCTAGGATTTTGACATGATCTGAGTGCCTTGCATATGTCCACCCTCCTGCACCCGTGTGTCACACAGCCCAACATTGAGAGGTCATTGCCCTAAACATGGCTATCTCTACAATCTGAAACTCACCAATAAGTTATACAGTTTCACTTCAATTCCGAGAGACAGGGCTAATGTTTTATAGAGAGAGAAACCCGGACGAGGGACCAGGATGTTCTGACCAGGATTGGCGAGGACAGACAAAGCTAGCTCGATAGCTTGACTGCAGCCACTTGTGAGGATGACGTCCTACAGAGAGAGAGATAATATTATTACAGCTATTATTATTATTGCGCATCATATGTATCGGTGAGACACATATGGTTTTCAATAAGGTTTCATATATCAATAACATGGAAGATTATTTTCATCTATTTAGCACCAAAGATAATTTTTTTTCATATTTTAACACGTTTATGCTTCTGTTTCAGTAATGATGCATGGAGTTCATTTCAAATCCAAAGAGGTATTCACCATTTTTATTTTTTTAAGCAGGGCTCATGTAATCCATTCGTATATTTATTCACTAAACTGGGAATTGTGGAGAATTACACATTTTTGACCACAATAGCCACGCTGGGCATATTTCTATCTTTTTTTGGCCTAAAACTTGTAACATTATTGTCAATTCTCTTTAATTCCCATTTTGGTGAGTAACTGAAAAGGCCAGTCCTGTCCTGTACTCTTTGTTAGTAACGCAAGTTGTTATAAGCACAGAGTATCAGTTCGGCTAAAATGATTTTTGTATATTTTGTTGTTCAAAAGTTATTTTTCATAAAGCGTTCCATTTCAGGGACAAATTTTCATGTTGGGATATTGTTGCCGTCGATCCCAGATCTCGCTGCCTGCCACATATCTTCTCTCTTGTCACCTGCAGGAGAGGTGAATTTCTGAACCTCTGATTACTGCAGCTCCATACTCCCGGTGCAACATTAGATTCTGCCAATATATCTGATGGACTATAGTACTGGATTGTCATGTCTTTAATTTACATTCAAAAGAAACTGGAACATCCCATGAAGTACACGATAACATGAATCATAGGAGCTTTTTAATGTTTCATTCAGTGATATCATTTCGAGAAAAGTGACGCTTCCTCTTAAAACTCAAACTTTGCACAATAAAAAGTTGACATTTGTTTCTAACTGATGTGAAAGGCATTTCAGAGGGCTGTCCCATAATTAACATGTAAACGGTGAACATGGCGGATCACGTCTGAGGACAGTTCCCAAGGGATGAACGCTCCTCTCTCTCCGAGGGGTTGCAAGAATTTAGATCAGGGTTCTCCAAACTTTGTTCCTTGAGATGTTGCCGAACTACAACTGTCTTGATGCTTTGAATTAAATAGATAGCCAGAGAATCACGAGAGTTGCAGTTCAGCAACATCTGAACATCAGAATTTGGAGAACCCTGATTTAGATCCACAACTGTTGCAGAACATGTCACAAGTTGCTTAGCCTATCTGCCCCAGCCCCCCTTCAATGCACCCACCTTGGCTTCCAAAGGAGCGTCTTGGCAGGTAAAGTATTTAGCAATCACCTCCCTGCTGGACTGGTATCCTGCCAATGAAAGAGCAGAGAAGGCTTCATGAGGAAAGGAAAAATTATCTTACAAATAAAATAAAAGCTTCATCAACTCTGGTGGCAGAATATGCTGGTGAGGATAAGGATGATGGGTTTGGTGTATAGAAGATGGAAACTAGCAGTCTGGTACAGTCAGAACTTACAGTTTGGGATCTGATGGCAATGACTTGCATATTTAACTGTTAATAATAGCCAACTTAGAGAACAAAATACTTTAGATAATAATGTGCATGTTAACAACTTTTATTAAAGTAATAAAGTCATTGTATGGGCTATTATAAACCTCTACAGAGTGTAAGGGACCAACAGATATAATATTTAAAATGCTTTATTCAGAGATACAAATTGAATATATTTATTATTTCAAATAGATCCTAGAACATAGATGTTATTCTAATTAAATGTAATTTACTTTATCAGTCTTGTAACTATTTAATCTGTTTGTAATGTAGCTCCCACGTTTCACCAGATTCTATAGTTGGTGCTTTAACCAACTGGGCTATCTCGCTGGTAGGTAGAATTGCAGTCTGGAGGATGCTTGTTTTAGAAATAAGAGATAGACAACGTAAGAAACTGTTATAAAATGTATAGTTACCTATACTTGGTGCGTATCCATTGTATTTCTCAGAGTCTATGGCCTCCTTCATGGCTCTGGTGACCTGTTCATCAGTGGGTAGATTCCCAAATACTGTTGGGTCTCCTAAAACAGCAATGACATCATTGAGTAACTCTCATATATAAAGGGTTATTTACTAAAGTGTAACTTGTAAGAATTCCAGTGAATATAACCAAAAAATAATAATAATTGTGAGCATTAACAAACAGCAATACGTTCATGCTTGCTGAAATAATTAAAATCTCAAGTTTGGTAATGTTGAATAAATTAACAATTGGATAAAATAGTCATGACTGTTTGTTAAGTGTTGTAAAGGCAGAAATTGTTTTAGTACAGACCTATAGACAATGCGATCATCTTCTTGTTGGGATTGGGAACAGCTGTCATTGTGTCCACGATGGCTCGGATGGGATTAAAGGTTTTTCTGGACATCTCGGATGCACGCACTGCCCATCTTGGCTTTCGTGCTTTTAATTTATCAACGGTGTTGGGACCTTGAATATTGACATGCACGTCGAGGACCTTTGGGTGGGCCACTGATCCATTGACATGGATTATATAGGCGTCCGTCTGCATTTCTACGAGAAAAACAAAAATCTGGTTATTGTTGGCTGAACAAAGAACTCCAGTAGGTCTAATGCTATTGGGAAGCTGCGTTTAACATGAATTGGATATAATTACCTTTTATAAAACATGCAATCTACCGTCTCCGAACTTTTTTTTTTTTTTCATTATTATAATAATTTCACCAAAAACACATTTATAAGGAGCTTTGCTTTATAGCATAGATAACGTGCTGTTATTGCAAAATAGTAAAAGCCCGTTAGATTTTATATTTACAGCTACTGTTACTTGTGCAATGTAGTCTACAAAGTAAAAAAAAAAATCAGTTTATAGTTTATCCAACACTTTATATGAATTCTTCAACCAAAATTAACCTCAAATGATGTCTTTGAGACAACTCCAATGATTGCATTCTTCTCGCATATATATATATATATATATGTTTATATATTTGATAAAATTCAGCAGAGCACGAAAAATCGTATTCTAAAAAACCTCCACTAGAGGTACTAGAGACTGCAATTTCTAACAATGAATATTAAGTACCAAATGCATGACTATACACAAGTGTGAAATTGGTTTATAGTTTGCAAAACACAGAATAATCTCCTCTTATACATGGTGTGGTTTTTACATGTTCATTTTTAATTCAATGTATACACCTACAATAATTAATTAATTAATTAATTGTTTCAGTTATTCAGTTGATATTTCAATATATCTTAGTGTTAGATTAAGGAAATAAAAATCAGTTATTTTTTTAAAAAGTAACTGCTAGTTTTTCTGTAATAATAATTTAATTATAAAACTATTATTTTTATAAACTACAAGAAATATTATTACAATTCTTTTGTAGGGTAGAAAGAAATATTAAGAGTTATCCTCCAAATGTTGCCCTGAATTAAATGAAGACCTAATTACAGCAACTTTAACGGTGCAAGAAACAGATAAACTATAGAAATAATAAAGTTAATAGACCGAAACATTTATTAATATTACACAGATAAAAAAAAAAATTCTCATACCTAAATCTATTAAATAAGAAGAAAATACATACGTTGCAATAGAATTTCTCTTGATGGATACATAGCATATATACTGCATAAATTAAACTTCATTTTAAGGAAGACGAAAACTGGAAATATTTATAAAGAGGACATATTTTGCAGATTATTGTGCATAATTGTATTGTTTAAAACATAGCTCGTTACATATAATTCCAATAGTAAATTCTAATAAGTAAATTTAAAATTACACTTTTTTTTATAAAATCCAGATTTAGGAACATAATTCTAAAGTTTAATCTGAAATGGGAAATGTAATTAATTTTTATTTAACGCTGAACAGGTTATTAGGAATTAAAAGAGTTTTTTTGTCCACTGTACCTTTTTATTTGTATAGAATAACTTGTTTTGAAGTTCGGGCTGTCAGACTGTCACTCTGAATTCCTCTGCACAGCTAACCAGATGAGTCACAGATAAGGCACAAGTTGTCCATAAAATAGTCCCAAAAAATGGGAGTTGGACCTAAATCTCAGTAACTATTGGCTGAAAAGTGGGTAGTGTTCCACTACAGAAATGTCCCTCCTATCGGTTTATGTACCATATTGAACTGATTTGGAAGGCATTTGATTTAACACTTTCATACTTTTTTCCCTTTATTATAAACATGGGTTTCGAATCCCCATCCCATCTGTTGCATAGGTGCAAGATAAACATGTTGTTTAAAAATCCGAGATAGACATAGTATTCCTTCTACTGGGCAGCAAGGGACATCTAAAAAACAAGTACCCATTTCAGAATGATCTGGAGGACTAGTTAATCTTGGTGATTGTTTTATGCTGGCATGTGATATCCCAGAACACACATTATTACGAGCTGTATTCTGAGAGCTGGTTCCATTTGTACTGCGCTTCAAGATATACATGGTGTTAAATTGAAGATCATCTCATATATAATTCTGAAATATTATGAGCTACAATATGACTAGTACCATAACAAAGACATCCCATTTAGTATCTTTGCCTTAGAAGGAAAACAATTTCAGTTTGAGTAAGTCTATGAGCAGATTAATATTATTAGGAAATGTTTGGAATTTTAATTACTCTCGTAGTATACCTGTTACAAGTTTGATGTAGACTGGGGGCCAGTCACCTTCTAGTAGGGTATTAATCTCGGAATGAAGGCTGGTTCTGGATCTAGGCTAGGCTCAGTGCATTATATTTTTTAGAAGTTCTTACATTCAGCCATTGCCATCTTCTCCCCAATGTCCAAGATGTCCTTAGGTTTGTTCCTTGCATCCCAGAGAAAAGTCGTCATGCTATCTCAGACTGAATGCATCACATCAAACCTATTCCATTACCTTTTTACTATAATACTATATCAATTATCTCATCCCAAATCTTTGGGTTACCCCAGTCTTACCAGGTGATTTTGCATCCATGGTCTTTAATTTGAGAAATCCATCTATGTTCTTCCTTATAATCTGTGCTGAACCAAGGTGTTCTTCTCAGAGTCCTGGTCTTACTGCAAAAACCGCATTCTTGTTTTCAGATTCTCTCGTTTTACTGGTATTACTAGCTTCTTGTTTCTAGAGTCCTACACGTCTTATCCAATACAAAGATCACGATTGGTGGCATCTCAGGTCACATTCAATGACTGGTTAACTTGTGTCATCAATTTGCCTCAAGGGAGCCTATAATTATTACTGTAAATATTTATTTACGAAGATGAACAAAAACACAACTTCTAAAACTTGTCCACAACTTAGACACCTGTGTCCCAATTCCACACGTTATATATTTAACAACAACAAAAACACATAATAGAAATAAAACGGTGATTACATCGGATTTGAGAGCTCTCTCTAGAACGTTTATAATCTTGGCCCACATTGATATTTATCATACGGTAGAGTTCTAGAATTTCAGAGAGGTTGCTAAGAAATTATTTTCCAGAACCGCAATGTTGCTCATTGAACGTTTTAATGCCATAGCCAGATATAGAAACATTCGGAAAGGGTGGCGTGTCAATATAACATAGAATTTGTACGAGCTGTGAGCAATATTACTGAGGTTCCTTATCCACACATATTCCACTATCGGTCTAAGAATAATATCGTAGAAAGCTTCCAAAAATATAAAAGGAAATTTAAAAAAAAAACCTTCCAGTATAGTGTAGTGAACTGCGATTCTAGAAAGGAACTTTTAATTCTTTTAAAATAAATTGTACCGATATTACCTATATGTAATTTCTGTGCCTTTCCAAGTCTCTTGTTTTAGCTCCCAGGTGTCCAGGTACCTAGAAAAATTTACGAAACAAAGAAAATCAGCACAAAAAGTGGTAACATACAGAGATTTGATATTGCTTGAGTAGACGGTGAATCTTGGAACAAATCACACATATCCCTATGGTAATAAATTGCCACAAACACAATACTTACATTTCCAGCCCTCCCCCCATCACCCAAGCAAACCAAGTGTATGTGTGTATCTGATTGCAGTTCCCATGGGCTTATGCGATTGGTCCAATAACAATATTTTATTCACTGGTCATTTAACCAATCATATGTCTTAAAACAGTTGGCTATATTTTTGATTAGCTACAAATCCAGATTTTAGCCAGTAGGGTACTTGGTAATTTTATAGATATATACTAATATAATGTATACATACTGCAATGAAGCACATTTAAAAAATGTTTGCATGAAACAGGTCTGAATTTTCATCTTAGATGCTGGTACGGGCAGAACTCTCAGATGTCTTACTCCCTCCACCCCAAAAAATCTGCTTATTATTATTATTATTACTATTGTTATCATAATAAGTATTGTTGCTGGCTCTGGGTTGTTTGCTTCATGATACGATGTGCATCGGTCACTTTCTTTCTCCTCAATTAAAAAAACAACGAATTACCGCATGGAAAAATGAAACGGTTTATCAAACTATGTCTAAAAAGGAAATACATGCAGACATGTGATCAGGGTATAAACCTCTAGTAGACAGACGTCTGTAAGCAGCTGCCTATCGGTAATTGTAGCCATGTTAATATCAGTATATTAATCTGGTGTAAATGTATAGTGTATGACAAGAATGCGTTGTAGTCTTTACTCCAGGATTTTATATCATGAATAGTGATGTCCCGAACGGTTCGCCGAACGGTTCGCGAACGGTTCGCCACGGAGTCATCATTGAGTAAACTTTGACCCTGTACCTCACAGTCAGCAGACACATTCCAGCCAATCAGCAGCAGACCCTCCCTCCCACATCCTGAACAGCATCCATTTTACATTCATTGTGAAGCTGCATTCTTAGTGAGCTGTCCAGGAGGTGGGAGGATCTGGGAGGGAGGGTCTGCTGCTGATTGGCTGGAATGTGTCTGCTGACTGTGAGGTACAGGGTCAAAGTTTACTCAATGATGAGTCCGCGGCAAACCGTTCGTGGTGAACCATTCGGCGAACCGTTCGGGACATCACTAATCATGAACTATAAGCATTTCATCTTTTCTATGTCATGGTCATTCAATATATAAATGATGGTTGTTACTACTTCCATCACAGTGTTCTGTTATGTTAAATGCTTGTTTTTTCCCAATATATTTATTTATATGGAGGAGCGAATGGTACGTTTTATAGTTTTGCTAATGGAATTCCCTGAGGGCAAATTGAGAAAAGATTTTGGAACTCTGGCTCTGTTGTAAATCCTTTTAAATTACAGAAAGAACACGCACACAGTGATATGATCCTCAGACATTCTTCTAATTTGACCTTTTCTTTTTGTAATACTTTGACACAATATCTAACCTCCACTAACATTCCTTCTACGTCAGAGGGAAAGGATTCAAAAGACTTTTCAAATTTAAAGGCACACTATAGTCACCAGAACAACTACAGCTTATTGAATTTGTTCTGGTGAGTAGAATCATTACCTTCAGGCTTTTTGCTGTAAATACTGTCTTTTCAGAGAAAATGCAGTGTTTACATTACAGCCTAGGGATAACTTCACTGGCCACTCCTCAGGTGGCTGTTAGAGATCCTTCCTGGGTCATGGCTGCCTAAAATGCATCCAAACATTCAGTATCACCTCCCTCTGCATGCAGACACTGAACTTTCCTCATAGAGATTCATTGATTCAATGTATCTCTATGAGGAGATGCTGATTGGCCAGGGCTTTGTTTGAATTGTGCTGGCCCTGCCCCTGATCTGCCTCCTTGTCAGTCTCAGCCAATCCTATGGGGAAGCATTGTGATTGGATCAGGCTTCCACTTCTGCTGATGTCAGCAGGCAGCTCTAAAGGAAACAGTGACAAAGCATGCAGCTCGAGACTTGAATACAAGTAAGATTGTACAATATTTAGGGGGCATGTTTGTGTTCCTGACCCTATAGTGCTCCTTTAAACAAACATCGAGCACCATTTCTTCTTTTCCTTTTAATTTTGTTAAACACACAACTTTAAAGTGACGTCTAACGCTGACCATTTGTTTAACAAACATTTTGTGAGAAGTTTAGTAAAATACAAAGTTACAAAGTCTGCCTACTATACGGTTCACCGCGACAATGTGGAAGGCTTATACAGAGTACGAATATATTTTAATTTTGCTGATTAATTATATAGTGTCAACATATTTCACAGAGCTTTGCAATAGTAAAACGGAAAGATTAAATAGCAGGGAATTGATAGAAAATTATCAACAAAACCAAAAGAGGCCATACTCGATATATTTTGTAACTAAAGTCCCATTTTTATTTTCCTACATATGCTGGTTTTTAAAAAAGTTCTAAGCTTCACTGCAAAGATAAAATCAATACAAAAACACAGGGCACCACAATCACGAATATTTACCAGCCTTGTATGGAATATCTCAAAGCAGAGAGGGAACAATAAAACAATGAGTAAAAGGATATACAATTTATTGAAAATAGTACTTAAAAATTGTATGTTTTTTCATTCATTTTATCATTTCTTCCTTCCAATCCCTTCTTTTTCTTTATATAGGATTTCCACAGTGTATATATTTTTAAATACTTTTTAAGAATGTCTAAATTGTACATTATGAATTATAAATATTTGAACCATTATGAATTGTAAATATACGAATCATTACCATATTTTAAACCTCTGATGGATTATCTGTTGTGATTAATTTTTTATCATTTTTAAATAATTTTTTCTTGTCAAATTTGTTTAATTGTAATTTTTATTAATTTATTAGTAATTAATTTTTATTAAATAGTTCTCTTTTTTTTAAATGATTTTATTTTTGCATTTTCAAAAAGTGCCTGTTTTACAGAAATAAAGAGAGGTGTGTTTGTACACGGTGTGCATAGTAAATATCTAAAGCATTCTGTACAAATAGTTCTCTTTTATACCCATATGATATAATCTGTGAAGATGTATATTACATGATAATTAACAATATTCTCCTGAAGTACAAAATCTCCATGTTACAGAAATATTATGACTGTCTGATCTATTTATATAATCGTATGTTATGTAGAATGCCTCTACTGGTTTTATTGTATTATTGGAATATTTGGGTTTAATATATATATATATATAATATTTTTCAGTTATTATTTGATTCATTCTATTTTTTATTGTTTTTGTTTAAAATAATTTGATAATATATATATTTCCTTTTTTGATATAAACAAACAAAGTCCTATTAATATATTTGTTATGAAGTTAGCATTTTTGTTAGCGATATATATATAGGCACTTATGTAAACCCAAACCACAAAGACTCTGAATTGTGTAAAGTCCGCAAGTACAGAGATGTGGTTGTGTAAAGTATCAATAAAGTTAGGTTGCGTTCGAGGGTGGATTGCCTTGCATGCGCGAAGCAGCCGCGTGTGCGTCATGACATATGACATTACGTTTGGCGTGGTTCGCACATGTGCGGTCACCCGATGGGAAGCGAGTACCCGCGGATTTAAAAGGACGAAGACCGGGAAAGAAGATAGAAGCTCCTGAGGAAGTCGGATGATCAACGAAGAGCGTTGAGCTCTGTTACGAAGAACCCTGAGATTTAGTATAAGCAGTCTTCAAAGCATATTTAAAAGATTTGTGCACCTTACATGCTTGAACTTTATTTTATACTGTGAATTATGTGCTGTGAGGGGAACGTTGGTGTCAGTGGCTTTTCAAGCAGTTATTTATAGCACCTTACACTACCCTTTGTGTCAATATCCAATCTATATTTTTAACTACTATTTTCATTAAATTGTATATCCTTTTACTAATTGTTTTTTGTTCCCTCTGTGCTTTGAGATATTCCATACAAGGCTGGTAAATATTCGTGATTGTGGCGCCCGGTGTTTTTGTATTGATTTTATCCTTACTTTACGTTCTTTATGTATGATAGTACTAGGTTAGGAGTGACCTTTAGACTGAGGCTTGCCTGCATGTAATTATCACTCACTCCCCCATCCACTTTAAGTTGTTTCTTGCAATGTGTTTATTTTATATGTAATCTATGACTCCCATAACCTTCTGCAGCTTCCGAAGCTAATTAAAGATTTTAAGTTTGGTAGTTTAAAAAAAACAAAAACAAATTTGAGAGCCAGCCGGACAGCTATGTGTTACCCCAACACGAATGAAAATTGTTAGTGGTTCCACTCTTATTGGGCCATGCTGTAACAAAACAGAGATAGTATCTTTATTTGAAATATGCCAAAGGAGCTGTAGCAGCTTGTTATATAAACGCAATTCGTTGTCAATTGGACATCTAGTCCCGGATAATTGTAATTTCTGGAATATTTTCTTTGTTCGTTATTGGAAGCTTGTTATTGTTTCTGGTCATGTGTTACATCCAATATCTACCTCCTGTTAACTGTTTCAGTAGCAGCGATCAGTCGTTTTAGAAAAGAACAAGGTTAGACAGTCACGCGTCTCCCTTAATACGGTCAGGTTCAATGTCCTGGTAACTATACTGGGCTTTTTGTTGAACAAACTAACACTGCTCTAACAGGACATCACATCACCCTTGTGCTGTTTTTTTGTCCAAGCTGTTTTTTCCTTGATTTGAACTTGTTGTTTGTGGACGTGGACGTCACTTTATTGCAAAGGAAAAAAAAAGAAGAAAAATGAAAGAAGAAGCGAAAACAACATCAATTTTTTAAAAAAACATTCACACGTTGAATATATGTTTTGTGATATGTGCGATTTACTTATGGCTTTGTATGACGAAGCTGAGAGGCAGATACATCATTTATCAAGATACTTGCCACATTAACATATGCTGACCATCAGGGTACCATGGCTGAAGCTACAAGGGACAGCTTCAGATAAGTATAACGTACTTTCCCCTGCACCCCACGGTCACTGGATACCTAGTGGCAAAGTCACTGACTATCTCCGAGTTGCTTTAAAAAATTTTAAGGCCTTAAGTGGAAAGATTTGCTAATGGCTACATTGAGGCATATCCTCAAACAAATGTAAAGATGGACTTTTATAGAAATTATCCTAAAAAGGAAAAGCTTCTTTGACCGAAAACAAAATCACCCCACTAGGATGTTACTGTCAGGAATTCAGGTTCTGTGGTGTAGAACAGTGATAGAAAAAGCATTACCAGGTCTTAGCGTGGCTGGGCTTAACTTAGAGAAAGGCACCACCATGTGCAGTCTAAACCAGGAAACCAGAATATAAGCCAAAGTCTGGGTAGAACTTAGTCAGACTAGCCAGGGTCAGGCAGCAAACAAGGAAAAAAAGATGAACAAGGCAGGTCAAACACAGTAAATCAGAACAGGAACAGAATCGCAATCACTGAAAACCAGGCAAGGACCACAAACTAGCAAAGCACAAACTAATGACTGAGGCTTAAATAGGCCTGACCCAATCTGGAGAACTATGTTAGCATTGCCTGGCAGCAATTAACTCGTAGTGTTCCAACTTAAAAATGCTAATAGTGTGCGGGAGACGCCGGACATGCAGAGGTCCTGACAGTCACCCCTTTATTAACTTCAGTTTTAAAGCACCCTCTAGAAGGACTTTCACTGCCCATGCTTTTTTATCCTCTAGGTGCCAACAAACCTCAGGGCGGGGGGTTGGACATCTAAGAGATGCTGTTTATATAGGACAGACATTCCACAGAACAGGCGAGTGCTATCAATACACTAGTTCTCTTCCCATTAAGTGTCGTACAAGATTATGGGAGAAGGGAGACAATTGGCAGACGTGAAAGCATTTAAGAAATCTCGGGGGATGACCCTGGATCAGCACCTCCAAGGTGTAAGCTTACCATCTCAGAGCAAATGGTAAGAGTGGATAGGATTGGGTAGACCCAGAAACGTGTATCCTCTCTCTGAGTCCCCTTGTGGGAAATTCAGATGGTTCCGTATAGGAGTCAATGGACCTTGGGTGGAGGAGAGATTGCAGTGGGCCACATACTGTACCAAGCCCAGAGAGTCACTTCGATGAGGGGGTATGAGATACTGTGGTGAGGGATGGAGCTTCTCCAGCAGGTTATAGACAGGAGTGGAAAATTGTCCATAGGTCTGCAGCAGGCCCCAGATTTTAGGGTCAGCCTCATAATGCCATTCCTGTAACTGGAGCAAGTGGTGGCCTTAATACTTAGCAAACAAGGGCAGGGGGTTAAGTGTTCAAGCACCACCACCACCAGCGTTGATATAGGTACTTTTAATTATTATTATGTTGACTTATCCCCCCCTATTTATCAAGTATGTGTTTGGGAGGTCTGGAAATAGCATTCCATTTAGAAATCAGCACTGCTGTATGAGCCCCGCCATCCTGGCTCCCTGTCAGTCATTGTTATAAGCTGGGCCCTTTGAACATGTTATCATCAGCAACAAACATTCTCTCCTCCTTCAAAGCAAGGTATGCCATGGCCGTGCCAGGTCTGAACTGGATTGTGAGATTAATTGCTAAATCTTTCATATACCTTTAAAAGAAAATAGAGCATTACCTGTAAAAAGTAAACAAGTACATTTTTTTATTTTTTTATTAATGGTGCAATAACTCCTCTTTATCCCCTTTTAGTAACTCATAACATTTTATGTAAAGGATTAAAATGCTTCCTGTTTAATGGGAATAAGGCATGATGAAGAATGTTTGTTGTAGGAACCAAACAGATTTTTTTTCATGAAAGCTTCTCTGGTGTTTGTGGAACCCAAAACAATTATATGTTTAACTCTGTCGCCTGTGTTACGTCAATCCCCCAAGGCCAGCGTTCAAGCTTCGACCAGTAATGACAGTATGAAAGAATGATACAAAGGCCATACCTCCCCGAACTGCAATCAGGGTTCACAGTAGGGCATAACGTAGGACTCCTGCATGACACACACCTTCTATTACATCATTCAGCACCCAGGACTGCAAAAGCCACCGGCTGCACCAGATAACGGATCAGGAAAGCCAAACCCACAGCTAAGAGCACTGTTACATGTCTCATTGACCCCAGCACCGTGATACTAATTGTGCACACAAGGCAAACACACAATTAGCGCACCGTTACATGTCTCACTGACCTGTCCTGTTACACTCGCTGTAAGACACCAAACAGCAAATATTTGTCAAAAACCTGGTTTCTTTGCTGTATCCCTTTTGTTTTCTTCCTGATGCTTCCTTTCCCCTTTGGATAGGGCACCTTTATTGCAAATTGTTCATCTTTAAGGTAAGATCATTGAAACTTCCAGGCGCATGATGGTTTCTCAATATAACTTTCTGTTTGGATTTCTTACAAAGTGGTTTCAAACCCAATTCTGACAATAAGAACCAAACATACTGTGTGCATTCTATGCATCCTGACCACAATGCCATGGCACTTCAATGAGGGTTATCCATTATATAGAACAGGGAAAAACATAAAAATAAATAAAAAGTAACCCTCAGTGGAAGAGACTAGAGAGGCGTTTGTTACAACCGTATGATTGGATGACCCTTCTCTGGCTACCAAAACTGTGCCGCCCAGGTTTACACTCTCTCCCCCCCAACTACGTAAAACTTTCCATATCTACGACACCTACAGGTCTAAGCTTAGTAGCTCCCAAAATCTCTCACTAGCAATACCAATTAAGGCCCTCCTTTATTGTATCCCCATGTTGAATTCCAAGCCAAGCGAGACAGCGGTGCAACACACCTCTTCCATTTATTCTCTCAAGATGGACTAACTAATTACACCACACTATCCTCTAAATATGCCCTACCTATAACCTCCCACTTTTCCTACCTCCAACTGAAATTGTTTCTGAACAAGAAAATACAGGGATGCAAACCCTCGACCCTTCCCATGACAGATCTAACAGTATGGGAACAACTTTGTATTAATGCAAAACTCCCCCCACGATGTAAGCCGATCTTCAAATGTTACCAGTTACTCCTAGACTCCACACCTTTCGCTGGGTCTGCTTCGGCCCAGAGATGGACAATAGACCTAAATTGCAATATTCCCATGTCACAGTGGGATAAAATTCATAATTTCCCACAGAAGTATATTAAGGCTTCCGCATTACTAGAACTTCGGAAACTCCTGTACCGATGGTACATGGTCCCCACCAATATCAACAAAATCTATCCAAATGCCTCACCATTATGCTGGAGATGTGTCTAGTAAACGGAGACATGTTACACATTCGGTGGCACTGTGCGTCTATAATCTCCTTGTGGACACAAGTGCACCAACTGATCCTAGATGTCACGACCAGCTCGATACCCTTCCAACTCAGCGACGTATCTCTTGCTGGACCTACCTGAAACTGTTCCTAACCACAAGAGTAAACTGATGTATCATATTCTTACAGCTCCATAGCAAGAGCATGGAGAAACCCCCTCACACAACAACATTCTTAATGAAATCAACCAACAACACATTTACGAACTCAGTTTTAAAAATGTCTTTCCCCCTAACAGGGTGTCTATAGAGGCCTGGGAGCTGTGGAGATCGTCACCCTAACACGATTGTACAACCATACTTGTCTAATTATACCTTGGTAACTCATACTTAACTGTGTTACTCTCTGCTGCCAAATACTGGTTGGGATGCGACATGCCCCGATATGCTTGAGACCACACGGCCAGTCAAACTATACTCTGCTACCAGATACTCACTAGCATTTTACCTTGACACCTATACGGGGAGGCACTATATTATATTACACCATGCAAGGTCGCATCACCACCCCAAACCTCCTGACGGACAGCTGAGTTTGGTGGCTCCTTTCATTTACAGCCATCACAATAGTGGTCACACCGTCACTGATATAAGTTCAGGCGTCGCACCACCTGTAACTGCTACAAAAGGTTCTAAGTTCTGGGGTCACCTGACTGCAATCCCTGAATGTTTGTGAGAATAAACTGAGTGCAATCCACAATATATTGCTCTGAGAATGTAAAAAATGTGTGATATGCCTCCCCCCCACCCCCAATGTGTTTTAAAAAAAACCAATAAATAAATTTCAACAACAACAACAAAAAAAAAAAAAAGCACGATTGCATTTTACCCTAGATCTAAAGGATCTGTCAAAAGTATGTGTAGCTGTCATTGTACAGGAGGTTTGGTGTTTTCTTGCACCTTTTTTTTTTTGTTCTAACCCATGCTCATGTTCTCTTTTAAACATTGTTAGGAGAAAAGAAAAATGACAATGAATAAAAAAAAAAATGTAAAAATAATTGTAATTCAGCATTGTATCATCATACAAACACATACAGTTATTTTTATAATACCTAGATTTTTCATGTAACTTCAATGCTACAAATATTATATTATGTATAACTATGACATTCTTGCGGTCAAAGAGTCCAGGCTAAGACAAAATTATTTGGCAGTTACATCTTGTGCGCTAATCGAGGTATTCTCGAAACAGAATTTGGGAGATATGAATTGCCAATTATCAAAAACAGCTGTATTGTGATGAAAGATTAAACAGAGCAGGGGTAGGCAACCTTTTGGTGGTGCTGTGGCAAAGTAAAACTTTGAAGACCCATAGGGTATGTGAAGAAATTTAGCTGGTGTTATTTATGGGTGCTTTGTGAGATATGTGGGTCGGTTTTATGCATAGGTGTGGGATGTTTGTGGTGTTATGCAAGTGCACATATGGGCTGTATGTAGTATTGCATGTGAGCCGTTTGTGTTCATTTATGTGGAGGGGTTTGCTTGTAGGTTTTGTGTGTGAATGTGGTCTGTTAGTGGTATTTTGGGCGTATGGGTTGTGTATGTGTTGTGGTTGTGTATGTGTTTGCGACAATAAAGTAATTAACCACTACCTCTTGCCTTACTTTGCCCAGAGAGAGGGGCGTGAATCTTCAAAATCCCTGGTGGCCAAGTGGTGTAACTTGCAGTCTGCACCTTCCACGGGTGCAGACCTCCCCTCCCTCTGTCTCTAATTTGACATGTTACCAGCGAGTCAGAGCATAATCATGGGAAAACGCAGCAATGCTCTGAATCACCGGGAAGAGGCAGATCGTGAATCGGTTGCATATGGACCCACTGGATGTGCAGAACACAGGATCCCTTATACTCCGTGTGCTGGAGCACCCTGGGATGGCTCCTCTGATCTCACCATCTGGCCCAATTGAATCTGGCAGCCTCACATGCTATAGGTTGCCAACCCCAGGAGTTTTCAAATAGGGCTATTTTGGCTGAAAATTGACTATTCCCTGGTAACTTCTCCTCAATTCACAGTTTAGTGTGTATATGCATGTTTGCAAAATATGTCCAATAGTGTTTGCCTGTTTCAGCAAATGCCGGTCTCTTCTTTTTATGAGCTTCAGGGAATGAGTGTATGTTCAGCTCTCCTGGAATGAATATTAAGTTTAGTGTAAACACAACGGGAACAGAATGTCCAACCTCGCTGCTGTAAGAAAATAATTAATTCCCCAGTGGTTGCGACACCATATTGACTACATCACATTGCACATAGAGCAATTCATGATAGGAATATTCTGAGCCATGTATCGGCCACAGGAGCAGGGGGCACAACGCTGTGTTATCACAATATGGCTTTGAAAATGGTGATCCGAGAATAAAGCAGAATGCTTGTATACAGCCCAAGTATTTGCCATCATTATCAATTAGCTGATGGTCAGCAGAGAACTGGGAGCTTATATTCCAAAGATAAAAAGATACATTATATACAGACAATACTCAGTCTTTGATTCATAGAGGTAGGTAATGTCCCAAAACAGTGATTGGCTCAGGAATACACACACACCCCAACACAATGAACAGCTCTCTTTAAAAGCAACCCGGTACATAATCAGGATCACTGCCACAGTCACCAGAGCACGTGTCCATCCAGCTTTCAGAATCCCTCCAAGTTGTGGCGTATGAAAGCTCAGTGTCATCTGTAGGTGGCACCATCTCACTTGCTGAAGATTTGGCATTTTCCTGTTCTGTGCACTTGTTAGGTGTGCTAACGTTCTCCACTGGTAATTGCGTCAGGATCACCATTGGTTGGTATTTAAAGGACACTGGCAGTGGCACAGAACAGTTGAACAATGTAGTCCTCCCTGCTACGCCCCTAGTGTGAGGACCCAGTTTATGGGAGTTCTGCCCTACACAGCACAGTGACTGATGTGGAACATCTCTGAGGGGAGCACTTTGCCAACGATGCAGCATTTCATTGGCCTGCAAGACATCTGGCTCCTGTTCTGTAGCACGTGCCAGCCTGCTTTTCTCATGGGTTCCTGGCAGTTCCAGCACGTCACAGCCCACTGATGGTGAAGTGCTCCTTGTGACATCCCTGGACAAGCTTGGCAGAACCTGTTTACCCAACAAAACATCGTCAAATTCCTGTGACTGCAAAGGGTTTGGTGGTGAAAGTTTATTTAGATGGTTTACCTCCAAAGCTTCACTAATGTCCCACCCAAAAATGTCAAAAACAGGATGCTTTGCATTTGGGTACTCAGAATGGAAAATAGGGATATTGGGGTCTGGCTCCTGCTCAATTAACGTTTCATCTAAAAACTTCTGAGAGTTGGCAACATTCTGCACAGAGACCCTGCTAAGTCTGCAGTCGCTGGCTAGTTTGGGATCTGTGAACTCCTGACTTGTTTCATGCAGAGCTTGTAAAGTCTTATCCAGTTTCTGTTCTCCTGCAGAGCAGGCACTGCTTTTGTAAGATAAAGAGTCTCCATGCTGATCTCTTCCTGCTGGGTCTTCAGTACAAGTATGGTAAGGAGTGCTTGATGTATCTAAAAATAGAAAGGAAAAATAATAGCTTTTCAAGTTCCTTAAATTACACTTTAATTTGGATTTCACAAGCTTTGTTTTTTTATTTTGTTCGAGTTAGAAAACGATATATAATTTGCACACATTCTTTTTCTCACATCCTGTTCAACGTGATGTCATTCCAAATCCCTCATTTTGCTCAGACGATGGATTACGTTACAGAGTACTGTGGCAAGTTGAGGATTGCAAAATATAAGAAAACAAAACCTCCATTATGTTGGAGATCATTTCCATCTGGTCAACTCTGCAGTTTGGTTTTATTACTGACTACAATGCACAGCTTAGTGAATAAATCCCCATCACTTCTATATAATGTCCTCAAAGGCGTTCCTATCAACTTGGCAGAAGACATCTTTATCAGCTTTGGGGTTAATTTACTAAAAACAATGATCTGAAAATATCAGATTAAATAGCTAAGCGGTCGCTATAACAAAGTAGAAGAATTGTTAGAACTGCGCTATTTTGCCTGAACTTTGCAATTCATATTACAGTTTACTAGAATTGGGTAAAGAGCGTGTGTCCGTATTAGTACAATATGCTGGATGTTTAATATTTACCCCGGTCATTGTAACATCTCTGCAAGAAGCAGCTTGTAAAACCAGCATGTTTTTACTGTTAAACAATAACCCTTCATCTTGAAAAAATAAAATAAAATTAAAAAAAAATCAGGGGAAGATGGAGCATTTTCAATCTCAGCTGTCTATAACAGATTGAAGGATATTAAAGGACCACTATAGTGCCCTGAGGGTGCCCCCACCCATTCACAATGCTTTCCTATGGACGCCCACCACCCATTCACAATGCTTTCCTATGGACGCTGGCGTCTTCTCACTGTGATTTTCCCAGTGAGAAACGCGGAAGCCCTCTAGCGGCTGTCAATGAGACAGCCACTAGAGGCAGGATTAACCCTTTTATAAACATAGCAGTTTCTCTGAAACTGCTATGTTTATAGAAAAAAGGGTTAACCCTAGCTGGACCAGGCACCCAGACCACCTCATTAAGCTGAAGTGGTCTGTGTGCCTATAGTGGTCCTTTAACATGGACCCATTTTTAACCAAGCCTGGAAAAGAGCCCCTCTCTAGAAACTGCTAATATGTTAATCAGTTTGCTTAATAGACAATTATGTGGATTAAAGGAAATACTTACCGGATACGCGTGCAGTGACGTGGATTAAAGGATTTACGCTCCCACACTGCCAATCAAAAAATCCCACAATGCTTAGTGTGTGCCTGAGTTCTAAGAACCTGAAAATGTTGCAAGATGCATTGTGGGTATTTAGTGATGTCAAAACACACCATGGCACGAGCCACACTTGTGATGCACGCGTAAGTGTCAGCAGCACAGAGAAATGATTCTAAGTCTCTCACCATGCAGACACTATGAAGTGCACCATTTACAGTGGAGGCAGAGAGCACGTCTCGTTCCAAGACCTTTATACGTTACAATGTATTACTGGCAGCAACACTGGACTCAACATGTCAGCTTGTCTAATGGTCACATGATAGATAGGATATAAATAGGACATTTCATGATGGCCTAGGATTTGTAGATGGACACCTTGCCAAACACCATGACAATCTATGCTTACCAATAGGAGGTTTGCAGCATCATTTTAATAGTCATCTTTCGAATTTTTTTTTATAAAGGTTAAGAAGTGACAAAGAATCAATGTTTTCTTCATTTTATACGATTCACTAAATTACCTGGAGCATCTCGATGGTGAGAGTGTGGTCTTTGTTGCAGCTGATGCGATGGCTCAAGAGAGACAATCTGGTTTTCTGGGGACTCTGTAACAGTTTTATCTAAATTTGATACCTAAAATATATGAATAGTTAATCAATTACCAACTACTCAAACTTAATCAAATTCATTTTTAAAGTACTTACAAATGTTACCTATATCGCAATTAAGATAGTCTAGCGGCCCAACACTATAAATTACTGAACCAGCCTACTTTGCAAGAAAAATTCGGCAGACTTTAAAATGTTCTTTTGTGGTATTAATTTGACCCCCGAATTTATTTCCAAAGTATTTTCTTTAAGATCAAGTCAGATTTCTCGAGGGCTGCACCATTCCTGTGGAACTCGCTTCCCTCCTCTGTCAGATGCTCACCCAGTCTCCACTCCTTCAAAAAAATCGTTTAAAACCCACTTCTTCTTCATAAAAGCGTATCAATTAAACTGTTAATAGCTCCTAACTGATTCCTCTTCTGCAACTGTCACTAGTCTAATACTATCCTTACCTTTTTGTGTCATTTTACCCCACTCCCTCTAGCATGTAAGCTCATTGAGCAGGGCCCTCAACCCCTCTGTTCCTGTGTGTCCAACTTGTCTGGTTACAACTACATGTCTGTTCGTCCACCCATTGTAAAGCGCTGCGGAATTTGACGGCGCTCTATAAATATCATAATAATAATAATCTTAATAATAATAATAATACTAATATCTATATGACCGTCCCTCTTTAAATAAAGTTTCTGTACCATCGCTGCTTCCACTTCAACCCAAACTCTATTACATGTTACCTTGTGATTGAGAATTGACTGCATTCTATGCAAAAGCTCCCATAAAAGTCTCTCTAGAGCAGCCAGAAAGGACTCTCCATATTCATTTTGAAGCTTGGTCTGCAATGATACAACGTCATCATTAACATCTTTTCAGGTTTCTGAAGGGTTCGATCAGAGTTGTTAAATATTATGTACATTACACCTAAAGCTTGAGAGAGTAACAATAGAAACGGATGACTAAATCCAAGATATGTTGCTAAAATGTGAAAGGAGCCATCCATTTGATATTTCCAGACAAGCTTTTCAAAAACATCATGTTTTTTTGGATAAACTTAAAAAATATATTATAAAAAATACTTAATGTAACGGACCGTTTCTCTCAAACGGGGATAAAATCGGTTTAGGCGATAATCCCTTTTCCCATAGACTAGCAGCTACTGCAATCACCAACCTCCTGAACTCCAAACTGCACGTATTCACCAACTCTCGAACAGCAGACACAGGAACCCTGGAAGCAGCCGAACAGGAAAAGCAATACAAACGGCTTACACTCCTGGCAGTCAGCACACAATCCAATTCCCCCAATAACGAGACGACACTTCGTTTTGAGGGTTAAGCAGAATCTCCAGTGCTGGCACACCCAGCCTGGTTTTTATTACAATCCACAAAACATAGTACAGCCCACAGGGCGTTACAAAACAACCAATCACATCACAGTTACATCCCACATATTCCCTCCCCTTATCCTGAGAGGAAACTCAATTATACATACAGTTAAAACATACTTTCTACCCAACTTTCATAACTCCAAAACCATACATCACATTTACATAAAATTACATATTCACAATCAATCCATTCAGGGGAACAACATATTCAAAAATGGCACACATCAGACAAGGGGTTCAAAAGTTAGTAAAAAGTCCTTTGTGACTAAATGAAGCATGGCTTTCTGGCCCAAACCAGTTTCAGAGTCTTCTATCCTGGAGATAAGTAATTCAATTATCTCACAGGATAGACACAGACTCCATTAAGCACATGGTTGCAAAAAGACACAAAACACTTTAAAATACATAAAGTCACCTTTACACATAACACACAGACATTTCACATATCCCCAGATAGCTCAGGTCTGAGCGCACATTATTAAGTGAATGGCGCTCAGACCACACGAATACAGTTTAATCGCCATGGAGCCAAAGTCTTTACAGTCAGTTTCATACAAATGGGCTCCATGGGATTCCTATCTGGGGTATAACACATTCAAACACATCTACCGAACCCCAGGCAGAAAAGCACGAATACAGCTTTTCTGCAGGCAAAAATAAAGTCTTTTAAAAGGGGGCCATAGTCAGATGGCAGGAGGCTGGCAACCAGGCTTCTCCAGTGCACAGTGGCGAGGTTGGTTTCGCCACACTTCTCCCCTTTACCAATCAGACTAACAGGGTATCTGACCTCCTGCCGGTCAGTGCCCTTGTTAGTCCAGCAGCCCACCCACAAAACACAATCAGTAATACAACCCACCCACAATAACTGGCTACTACACCTGGGTAGAGGAGAACTTTGTCCGTGTCCAGGTGCCTCACCATGGCTGTGTGGGTGACTGGTCAGCGTACTGGGTGGGTTGCTGAGTGGGCAGAGACCAGCGGTACTCTGTCCTGGTGCCAGCACTACCACGGGAGTAGTCTGGTTGGAGCCTGGTTGCTGGAGGGGGGGACAGACTGTCTCCCCTTTGCCTAAACAGTCCTGCTGCTGGGGGACAGGACCGACTGTTCCTACCCCCGGTGGTGCATGTGCAGCGACTACTGTCCCATCTGCACTGTTGTGGAGATTACTGTCTCCCCTTGGTGGGCTAAGCTGCCGCTGGGGAGAGGGTGTAACAAGCTCCTCTCCCATACATACTTTCAGCCGCTGGGGAGAGGGGATAACAAGCTCCTCTCCCTGACACACTCTCTGCTGTTGAAGGGGGAGACCGACTGTCTCCCCTTTCAATAATTCGTCCTGTTGCTGGAGAAAGGTGATAACTGGTTCCTCTCCCTGGAACACTCTCTGCTGTTGGAGAGGGGGACCAACTGTCTCCCCTTTTAATATATTGTCCTGCTGCTGGGGAGCGAGACCGACTGTCTCCGCTTCCTGCAGGACACACTGCCGCTGGGGAGGAAGGACGACACCTTCAGCTCCCTGGGACACACACTGCCGCTGGGGAGGGCGCTGACGGCCCAGCTCCCTGGGACACACTCTGCCGCTGGGAGGAAGGACGGCACCTTCAGCTCCCTGGGGTACACACTGCTGCTGGGGAGGAAGGACTGCACCTTCAGCTCCCTGGGATATACACTGCCGCTGTTGAGGAAGGACGGCACCTTCAGCTCCCTGGGGTACACACTGCTGCTGGGGAGGAAGGACGGCACCTTCAGCTCCCTGGGGTACACACTGCCGCTGGGGAGGAAGGACGGCACCTTCAGCTCCCTGGGTTACACACTGCCGCTGGGGAGGAAGGATTGCACCTTCAGCTCCCTGGGATACACATTGCCGCTGGGGAGGAAGGACGACACCTTCAGCTCCCTGGGGTACACACTGCCGCT